CCACTTTGTTAGCTCATCTGATGTCATCTTAACTACATACCCGTACTTTTTGTTGCTTATAACTTGCTTATTGGATAGGTTCAGTTGTGCTCACAGAGGGGAGTCAGGTTTTGCTTTTAAGGTGTAAGAAACTTTGAAGCCTGACACTATTATGAAACAGTTAAAGTAGGATTTAATAATAAAAGCAGCTACAAGCAAACAAAAAGTAATTTTTGGAAAACAAACTTTGTATTATACTCAGTGAGTCTCTCATTTGCTTTGTTTTGTCGAGACAGAGTCTCCGCTATGTAGTTCAGGCTGTCCTTCAACTTACTATGTAGCCCCAGGCTGGCCTTGAACTCACTGCAATCCTCCTGCCTCAGGCTTCCAAGTGCTAGGACTACAGGTGAGCTCCACCACACCTGGGTTAATGAGCCTTTTGACTGTAATATTCCATATACCTTTCATAATGAAAGACAAAGTTGGAGCATGCTTATATTTTAAAATTTACTAAAGGAAATTAATTCAAGCATAATTTTTTCAAGCTGAATTTGCCTGCAAATTTGTCTAATACTACGCAGAAGTTGAATTGAACAGAGTAGCAGGCTTAAAAACCAACTGTGTAAAATGACCTGCAATATGGGAAAAATTAGATTTCTACATTACTTTTCCAATAAGACTAACAGCTTAAAGTAAGGCACTGGACTAAACACTTTACACCCCCCCCCCACCAGGTACCTTGTGCTTATGAGGCAGGTGAGGTGCCACTAAGCTAACATCCCCCCACAACCCTTGCCCTCAAATGCTTGTTTTCACAAGGTATTGTTACTTTTCTTGGAACTGAACAATTTATTAACTCCTTTGATACTTAAATTGGCACAGTATAATGCATAACTCACAGAAAAAGCTAATAAAAGCAGCTCAAAGTGGCAGACAGGATCCAAATCCAGGGGTCTGGCTCCAGATTAAGCACTAATTAGAACATATCTCACAAGATACACCTTTACAGTCACTATCATACTTTCAATAATCCCAAATGAACATTTTCACACTTTAATATTTCTTAAAAGACTATGTATTAAAATGGATGGCACCTTATAACTGGCAGTATCTTTTCCTCTCTTGGTGGTACAACTTAAAAGACAGTGGTGGCTTGTTTCCAATGAAATAGACATATATACCCACTAGGTCATTAGGTATGGCCTTCAAGAATTGTACGCTACTTTTGTTTTGTTTTGGGTACCGGGGATCGAACTCGGGACCTTGCGCTTTCGAGGCAGGCGCCAGAACCACTGAGCTAAATCCCCAGCCCCTTGTGGGCTACTTTTGAGGTATCCTAAAACAAGAATATGAATTCTACAATCACAGGAGAGGACAGTGGTGCTCAAACAAGGTAAGCAGTATACATCATGGTGTTAACATGAGATTTATCTATGCTTAAGCATGGATATGTGGCCTTATGGATTCTATCCAGTTGTAACTCTCAAAAAAAATGGTACCTGACAAATGGTACCCAAAGAGACCACTCACTGAAACTAACATTAATAACACAAAATGTAAAGAAAACTACAGAAAGTAACCACTTCGAGTCATCTTAAAAAAAGAAAATCCCAGGGCCAGGGATTTAGCTCAGTGATTCCGGTGCCTGCCTCGCAAGCACAAGGTCCCAAGTTTGATCCCCGGTACCAAAAAAAAAAAAAAGAAAGAAAACCCCAATGATTGCTTGATCAGTTCTGACAAGACCTGAATTAATAAAAAGGAAATGCTAAAGACTATTTGAAATATGAACTTCATTTTACATATATAGAGTCTTGAGAATTAAACAATGACAACTATGTATATAAATACATATGAAATGCAGTATTTGAATTTTTCTTAAAAAAAAAAATCCCTTAATACCCCCCCCTTCAGTACTTTGGATTAAGCCTACGGAGCACTGAACTACATACCCAGACCTTTTTATTTTGAGTCAGGGTCTAGCTAGGTTGCTCAGGCTGGCCTTGAACTTGCAATCCTCCTGCCTTATCCTCCCAAGTAACTGGGATTACAGGTGTGCACCACTAAGCCTGGCTAATTTTTCTCTTTATATAAAATAGTATCCTCTCACAATTGGGGTAGTTGGTGAAAAACTGCATATTACATGATAAAAGCATCAATAGGGTTCCTCTTCATTGGCAGATTCTCTACCTGGAAATTCATTTACTTGCTAAAATTTATTCATAATCCCAAATCAATACTGGAGGTGCCTTTAGTGATTGCTCACAGACATAAACAAAGTAGGGAAAAATCTGAGTTGCCCACTGTACACATTCTCAGCTGAGGACAATCATGGCAACACTCTGCCTTCTTGTTTCATTTCTCACATTAGGGCATTTTCTGCAACTGTGTTAGCGAATGGCTCCCAAACATAAGGCACCGTGTAGTGTTCCTAAGTGCAAGGCTGTGATAAGGCCTATGTTAGATACACTTCTTTCAGGAATGAGTTATAGTGCTGTTGGCCGTGAGTTCAATGCTAACCAACCAGTGATATATTAAATAAGGTGTTTTTAAGTAGAAACACACAGAAAACAAGGGTATGTATTGATCAGCTGATGAAAATGCAACCAGAGGTTTGTAGGAACCCCATATCTCTTCTGGGTGCAAGGGATCAAATCCCATATTTCAGTACTAAATTGCAGTGCTAAATTACATCTATGATGACTTCACAGAACATCATTATTATAAGACACCACAATCAACTAAGATCCTTGGTCATTTTCACATTAATATGAGACTCTTCTGCTTTATCCTCTGTTCCAATATTCCCAATGAAACCATTACACTACCTTTATAAATTCCTGGATTTTAAGTGCATTATAATTACAAGAGCTATTTATTTTTGTTTCTTTTCATACAAGGAGGTACACTGGTTTTAAATAAAATTAAATGTTACAAAAAGTCCGTTTCACATGTATTCAACTATGTTTTTATTTTTGTTTAAAGAGGCTTTCATAAAGTTACTAATATTTGCTTGCAGGAGATGTAACATTAAGTATACTGCACTACGAATATACTGTAGTTCTTTTGTTTTACAATCCTGTAACAATGCTCATGAAAAACCCCATCTTTTTTTACTGTTGTTTTGAGACAGGTCTCGCTATGTAGTTGAGGCTGGCCTTGAATTAGCAGTGATCCTCCTGCTTCACCTCCCACCCTCACCCTGGCGCTGGGATTAAAGAGATGCACCACCAAGCCTAGCCTAAAAGCCCATTTTTTACCACCTGAAACCAAATAGCATGAACCTCAATGAATTAGGGCTCTGGAGCTGTCTTTGAAGACAAGACTGTAAACTACTAACTAGTCCAGTCAACCATTCACCCACCTTTCCACAATCCCCTTTAAGTCAATGTGCCCTGCCAGCAGCTCTTACAAAGAAGCAACCCTCCTAGTAAAATAAGTTTAGTATAGTGGCTTCCAAGGCAGAAAGAACTAGATTTTAACCCCAGTCAATTACAGAAAGAGGCTAACCCATAGAACAGGGCCATGGGTTACAGCAGATCAAAGCTGGGAATTAAGTGGAAGCTAAGGAAACAAAGAAGGATAGAGGAAAAGAATATGACTCTTGGTAGTTGGACAAAAAGCCTGCACTGGAGATAAGTAACATAAAAGCCAGTGAGAACTGTATTCCTGCTGCTGAACACTCTGAAGCCAATAATGTATCCTGCATCACTAATAGTTTCTTTGCTTTACTGTCCTGTAACACTAATCAGGAAGACGCCCATCTTTCATCACCTAGAGCCAAACATCATGAACCTCAATGAATTAGGGGTTGGTAGCTTTGGCATTAGATTCCCCTGTCACTATTCTTCATAATTATTTTCATCTTCCCACTGCCAATTGTGTGCTGGTGAATTCCCTTTTCTCAATCCCATGACCTACAACTATGGCATCCTTCAAATTTCCAAATAGAGGGTGGAAAACTGCATGTGAGGGAAGAATTCAAGCATCCAAAAGGAGTGTAGGAGATTTGCTAAACAAAGCTAAGGTCCTTCCCAATCTCAAAAGGCCATGATTTTAACTTGGGCTCCTATTTAGTATTTTCTTTAAGGTAACACAAGTCCCCATCAAGTGGTAGGTAGATCCTTTTATGGTCCTAACTTAGATCCTTACACATAATACCCTAGTTCTAATATTCTAAGATTTCATGATCATCCTTATTTTAGTTCCACGATTACAAATTTCTCTAACTTTTCTAAACCCTTATTTCCAGAATGTAGAGTCCTCTAAACTGGTAGTGTTTTTCATTAAGCACTGCACCTTGGGTATCTTTCTCTGTGCACAAATGTCTAATCTCACTGTTTTCAAAAGGCGGGTACACTGTGCCATTAAACAAATGTACATAATATTTCACCAATTCTCACTAATGGACCTTGGGTTGTTTCCCATTATTTCTTGTTACACGCAATGCTTCGAGTCAACATCTTGAAGCTGCTCCTCTCTGAACTGTTCTGAGCTTGGATATGTCTCAACAGGACCAAACACTAGAAAGCACCCAAAACTTAGCTGCAGAAGCAAAATCATGTAGCAATAAATAACTTTCCATTAAATGAAGATCAAGGACTTGGAAAATTTTGGTTTGTTTCTCTTAGTGCAGAGATGACAGGGAAGTCAGTGTAGCATGATGCTTAATGGGGAAATGGTTTGTTTTTGAGGTCCATTAGCATGACTCTAAGTCTTAAGAGATTCCCAAAGCAAGAAAATAGTTTTCTTATAAAACCCTCAAGACACCTCGGAGGTGAGAATAAGAAATGATAAAATCTTAACAGGTGAAGCTCTGAAACTTTAACATGATGCCTAAATGTACACAATTAAAAGTTTCAAAGATCTTGCTTGCTTAAATATATCTATCCGCACACACAGACTTAAGGTCGCCGCTCCCATTCGGCATCGCTCGGCCCACAGCCGGGCAGCCGCGCCTCGAGCGGACCGGGGTCGCCGGGACCGGAATCAGGGGCGTCCCCACCGGCCCTTCCGACTCTCACCTCAGCTCCTCCTCGACGCTCTGGCGGGGCTCTTCGGCCGAGGCCACCACCGAGGAAGTCGCATTGGACTTGTTCTTCAAGATCCCCTTGATGGGCCGGTCCGACGCCGTCGAGGCCGCCATTGCCGGTGGTGCCGGCTGTTGGCTCAGGGTCGCTGCTGGCGAAGGGTCCAGGAAGAGAAAGGTCGGGCGCTCCCAGCGACCAGCCAGGTAGCCGCAGAGCCAGCTCCGGGCTAAAGCGGGAGAACTCGCTGTCGCGGGAACAACTCCCGGCGTCACTGTCACGACACAATGACCGTGACGCCACAGTCGACGCCGCGCGGCGAGAGCTTCCTCGCCGCCGGCACTCGACCCGCGCCCCGAGAGACGCCGGCCTAGCACCTCAGCGCGCGAGCGACGCCGACGCCGAAGCCAAGCGGCCCCGCCCTCTCGCGATATCTAGGGAGGGGCGGGGCGAGAACAAAGCCCGCCCCACCCCGCCCGGCTTGACCCGCCCGGTTCCCGGGTTGGCTTCTGTTCTACCGATTTGTGGTCTTTGGGGCACTCATACTCTTCTCTTCGGAGGCTGTATTGTTATTTGTTTTATAGCTCATAAAAACGAGACCCAGAGGTGACCGCACTCCCGAAATATTAGCTGGCTTCCAAAGAAATGCTGTCTCCTTCCCATTCAACCCTCGCAAAAAAGCTTAACTCTCTATTGAAAGATCACAGAGCTCAGCGAGTAGAGCTGTCCTTAAAGACCGATGATGAAATCACCGAATATTGACTTGCAGGAAGTCCTAGAAAGCCTGCATTGGAATAGCCTAACCTCCTTTCACCACTGAAGAAACTGATGGCTAGAGAAGGGGAACTGACCACCAGTGTCACAGCCTGTCCCAAGCAAAGGAAGACAGGGAGGGCTCCGGGTGACGTAGGAGCTCTGGAGTGAGGCCGCTGCAAGCCAAGGGACAGATGGGCTGCAGAAGTGAGGGGGTGGCTTGCTACAGAGTCTCTCTCAGAGCCCCCAGGGGACCCAACCCCTTTCTGCACTTTTATTTGAGTTTTATGCGACAAGATCTTGCTGTGTAGTTTAGGCTGGCCTTGAACTTGTGGCAGTCCTCCTTGCCTCAGCCTCCCAAGTGCTAGGATTACAGGTGTGCCCTACCATGCCCGACCTCTGCACGTTGATTTTAGGCTTCAAGCCGGCTGGAACAAGGCAGTACATTTTTGTTGTTTAAAGTCACCCAGCTGTAGTTTGTTTTGGCAACTAAACTCCCTCCTCTTTCCTCTTCCAGTCCCCAAATGGCATCATCGTTTCCTGGCCAGGCCTTTACATCATCCCCACAGAGGCTAGAGCAGACTGCCACCACTAGCAGAGATGCAGCCCCTTGGGGATTCAGACTATTAGGTTTGGAAAGGACCTTTCCAAGCAGTCCCAGGGGGTAGCTCTCCAGCCTCTTGTCTCCAACAACCCTGAGGTCAGGGGCGCACCCCCCCCCCCGCCCCGCAACAGAGCTCTTTTTATCGTTTTATTTTCAAATATCTGAGACACAGGAAGTATTTCCTTGGATGCTTGGATGAACCTGAACACAACTCGCAGTAACATCTGTCCTCTGGGGTGAACCCCACCTTAAGCAGTAAGCTCACTCAAGCCTCTTATCTCAGCCCCAAGTCTCAGCTCCTTTAGTACCTTGAGGTCAACGTTCAGTTTCATGTCTTTAGGACCCTGCTCCTCTGGAACAACTTCAGGGTTCCCGAGAACCATTTTGTTTTGATTTTCTGGTTCCCAACCCCTGGCTGAATTCCTGCCTGAGTAGGGCCTCAGTAAGGGAAGGAATGCCGATGGAGATAATGGAGGGGAAGTGGCCAGGAAAGGGGGAAGGGTGGCGGCCCTGCTAATCACGGACCTGATTGTGTTTCCCAGGGAACAGAGGCAGAGGCCTCAGAGGCTACCTGGGGTTTGACCCCACCTCTGTTCCCACACAAGTGTCCCCTAAAGCCCTCCCTCCTTCCCAGGCTGGGACTGTGCAGCCCTGGGGCAAGTGAGGGTTCTCAGTGAGGGGAAGCAAGATGTGTCCTTCCCACCCAGCCCCTGAGTTGTCTTTTCTGCCCTGACACCAGGAGCAGGTGACACTGCTCAGCAGTAGCAGTGCTTTCAAGGGAACGCTCAGAACTTCTCTTCCTTTTCTGATATTGGCTTTGTTCCTGCTTGGGCATTGCAATCGTCACACTAAGCCTGTGATTGTGCCCATAATTAAGCCGTGCCTTGGTTGGAGACAAAAAGGGCTCCCACAGTGCCCAGATATAATGTGTTTTATTACAGCTAATAAACTAACAGACATCTGAGAAGGAGGCAGTGGAGAGTTCTGAGAAACCTCAGGAAGAACATTTCCCTCTTCAAACTTACACTTTTACCTCATGCTATTTCTTCCAGTCCCAACTCCACTAAAAGTGATTGCAGATGAAGAGGATTTCCTTAACAACTAAAAAATGTAAAATAGTAGTCTTGTGCAAGACAGTTCAGCTTTCCTTTATATGTTAGAATTGCTGGCCCACTTATTCCTCAGTGTGGCCCCAACATCCAAATGTTACCTCACCCCAGAGCTCCCTCTCCCTCCAGGCCTCTGCCGAGGCTTACTCTTGGCAGAGGGCATCTGAATGAGACAGCTCAAGCACTGAATTTAGCTGGATCTGTGTCCCATTTCCTGTGGATGGAGTCTTCCATTGTGGGTTCAGTTTCTGGAAGTAGCTATTGAGCTCAAGGCAAATCACAGTGTTTAAAAATAAATACATTGAACGAGATAATCTGGCAGTTATTTCTGCTCTCTTTGAGCACTTCATGATTGTCCAGCATATTTGGAGAAGGAGAGGAGACACCTTTAATGCACCCACCCCCAGCCATGTGGCTGAGCCAGGTGGGTCTCTGTCCCTTGGAAAGGACTACTGAGGCCACCACCTTCAGGGTTTCCACCAAGAACAGAATTCCAACCCTAGAAATGGCTTCCATGGCTGGTTCCACCCTACTTAAATAATTAACCAGAGTTCCCTGAGAAGAGAAATGGGTGATGCTCCCACCCCAACCTCTGGAAGAATACTCCAAAGTTGTGTGGTTTAATGTCCACTGAGTCAGCTGCTTTTTGTTTGCCAAGAACAGCATAGTGTTTTCTTTCCTTTTCAGGTAACCCTTCCCCAGAAAGAAAGACCACAGATTTTGCGGTACATTGTGGAAATTCGTGGTAGCAGGGAAAGATTATTTAAACAAAATACAAGAAGTTTTAAAGTGGGAGACAGCCCACAGGCATACCAAGGACAAAGATTAATCATTTTCTGCTTCAAAAATAGCTTTTGATTTGCAACCATGGAAAGCTCCAGTTTTTCTCTTCAAAGATATCTACAAAAAGGACTCCTTAACCTCACCGCAAAAGCCTCCAAGTGACTGTGACACTCTTTTGAGAAGTCACAAAGCACATCCCCCCCACCCACAGGACACAGTGCTTTCACTCAGCCCTAGATGTTTCCTGACCCTTTAAAAACTACTTAAACCCAGGCAATCTGGCCAAGTACTTTTATTCAAAGCCCACGAGGCAAAAACTGGAAAGAAAAAGAAGGCAGGATAAATAGTGTGACAAGCCTTGGAAACTCTAAGTAGGAAATGTGAATTATATGTTTTGACTACGCTCTGAATGTGTCTTGTGTCAGAAATCACTCCTTTTTTTGTGATTATAAATATTCCATAAATGCTAACTGGTTTGGTTCATAAATTATTGCAAGAGGTAAGCAAGCAGCGCCATATAGCGTAAGTTCACTGTGTCAGTCAGGCCAAATTCTATTGTACTTGGTTGTTCTGTGAACTCATAATGGGATTAGGAGTAAAGGCTTTGATTCCAAATATAGGAGTGGGGTGTGGCTCAGTGGCAGGGGGCTTGCCTAGGACTAGTGAGGTGCAGGTGAGGACCTGCATTTGAGGCCCAGCATTGCAAAACAAAACAAAACAACAACACGTATGATGTTAGTATAAACACTTCATGAAAAACCTTCAATATATTTTGAAGACTAATCATCATTTTTGGGGTTTTATTTATTTATTTATTTATTTCGGTACTGGGGATTGAACTCAGGACCTTGAGCTTTCGAGGCAGGTGCCGGAACCACTGAGCTAAATCCCCGGCCCCTAATCATTGTTTATAAGAAGACTTTTTACTTTATTACTCTATGGATACTCACTTGCATTTGTCCTAGTTTGAAATTTCTCAAATATGTGATTTTATTATTTTTATTCAACTGCTGTAACATTAGTTTAGGAACCTCTACTTTCTTCCCTGACCATTTGTCTTCACACTGCTCTTGTAATAAAAAAAATTGGGTTATATAATGATCCTTAATTTATAAATTCAACTCTGCTTTGCCACACATGATGTTAAGACTAGGACGAACAATTAGACCCTTTCCTCCTTTTTATTTTTTCCTCAAGGAGCTCAGGCTTTAGTGGCCGCTTATTATATAGAATAAAGTCTAAACTCCTTGGGCCTTTGCAGTCTAGCCCCATCCGTTTTTCTAGGCTCCTTCTCTGTCCATATCTACTTCCTTTCCCTGTGTTCTTCACAAAAGTCACACTGCCCTTCTCAAGGTGCCAGAGCACCCTGAGAACCAAGGGTCTCGAATCCAATCCAGATCACAGACCCACTGAATGGGAACACATGATTGAACTGGGTATGGTGGCATGAGTCAGTGATCCCAGCTACTGCAGAGGCTGAGGGAGGAGGATCACTTGAGCCTAGGAGTTTGAGATCAGCCTGGGCAGCATTGCAAGAACCTTTCAACAACAACAGAGCAAAAACAAACTCGAGTCACATAAATAGGAAGATACACCTTCATGAAAATAGCAACAAATTTGCTCTCATAGAGCAGGGAACCAAAATTGGGAGAGGCACACAAATCTGTGCGTGTGTGTGTGTGTGTGTGTGTGTGTGTGTACAATAATGAAGTTTCTTTTAGAAAAGGTTCTGACCCCAAAGTAAAAAGAAAGGAAACACATGTGCTCCTTTACTTCCTTGTGCAGGAACACACTTTACTAATTCGTGTGCAATGCTGCCTTTCTCCAGTTACCCCAGTTCAAAGATCGCCTCCTTCCCTGACTCCACCAAACAGTGCCAGTCCTACCTCCATGAGATCCCGTGGGCTGTTTGCATTTCTCTGTTTCATGGGATTGTCCTACCCTGCCCATCCGGCTCTCCTGCTGTGGCCTCTTTGAGAGCAGACGCATGTCTTTCTCCTCTTGTTCTCCAGCAGAATAACTTGATGAATGTGGTGTCTGCCATAAGAAGCTTTTTTTCCCATTCTGGGGATTAAACCCAGGGCCTTTGCACTGAGCTCCATCCCCAGCCTTTTTCTATTTTTTATTTTGAGACAAGGTCTGGCTAACTCACTGCGTTGCTCATGGT